AATTGCAGTGTCAAAAAGTATATTTCAGAGAGTTTCAAAAACTAATGCATTATATGATGAAAAGTTATAATTATTGTATCATTTGAGCATGATTACCGGTATATTTTTGCCATGGGTATTTGTAGAAATAGGCATCATGATTCTATTTGAATACATGTGTGGTGCGTTCGAGAAAATTATTTTGAAAGTTAACCAAAGTTAGTTATCATTTATCTATATAATTTTGTTTTCCTATTAATATTTTATATGAAAATATAAGTGAATTTAGATGACTGCTTTCTTTCATTATTCACAGTATAAGATAAAGGAAGATCTAATTCTAAAATGATCTGTCCTAAGGGGACAGATGCTCAGCTGCCTGTGTGCACCAACTTTTATTTTTCAATTTTATCTATTGTCAAAATCAATATGCTATTTCGAAACTGCCAAATTGGTTCTAGATATCTGAGGAACTATGATTTGGAGAGCAACTCAAGGTCAGTCTTATTAGGAAGTTACTTGAACCAGACAGTCCAAAACCAAAAGTTCTTTAGTAGCCATTTTGCCTGGTGAAGTAGACTAGGCTCTGCCCACAAATTCACTTGATGTCTTTGATCTTAGTTCCTTACAGAGGGTAATAGGGATATTGCAGGAATTATTTACTTCATCCTTCATCCAAAACTAATATTCTGTGGTCCCTGTAAGTATTTCCTGAGGTTAATTGGTGGTGATGTGGAAGCATTTTAAAGAAAATTCAAAACTGAGTGAATTCATTTTACAGAAAAAAATATAAAGAAAAATGATATAATAAACGATTTTTGTTTCCAATAGGGGCAAAATATAAGGTTCAGAATAAATAGGTATAAAATAAAATTGAAAACTGTAGATATAATGTGCAGGGATGTTTTGAGGAAGAACTTTTATAGGAAGATGTTGAAATCAGACAATGCAATTTATAAGTCTATGTACTTCCTTTTCCTTTACAATTCTGCCTTATTCTGAAATAAACTAAGTCTCTGGCACATAGTTGTGCTGCAAATATTTGTGTAATGAATTGGTTAATGAAAAAAATTATTTGGTCTAGCTAATTCAAACTAAGATCTTTCTTGTAGTAGAAAGTTGCCTTACCTCTCTTCCAGGCTGTGTATTTTTTGTGCAACTCATTTTAGAAAGCCTACTCTGCTATACCTACAAATATCATCATTTATTATTTTTACATAAAATCTTTACATGACCTGGTAGAATTTTTTACCACTTAACACACCTAAATGTGGAGAAGTGAAATGCCCCTGATGACTTATTGCTGCAGCAAAACCACCTTAGCCTCCTGAGGCCAAGAATGGTGTATAATATAACAAAGGGAATATTTAAGTTCACTTCCTACAAAAATATTCTTCCCTTTATATTACATGAGAATTAGATCAGTAGCCATTCATCTAATTGTTGCTCTGTTTTATGGCTCTTCAAAAGTTCTAAATTGTTGTCTTTGGCAATCCATTGTCCATTCAGTAGCATATTATTTAGTCTCCAGGGGTTGGATTAGTTTTTATTTTATCATTGATTTCTAATTTCATTGCATTATGATCTGATAAAATACAGGGTAGTATGTATACTTTTTAAAATATTTGCTAAGAGTTGCTTTGTGGCATAACATATGGTCTATTTTAGAAAAGGATCCATGTGCTGCTGAGAAGAAAGTGTATTCATTTGTTGAAAGATGAAATGTTCTATTATATGTCAGTTAAGTCTAAGTTATTGATTGTATTATTGAGTTCTGTAGTTCCTTTAGTCAGCTTGTTTTTGGAGGATCTATCCAATGGTTAAAGAGGTGTGTTAAAGTCACCCAGAATTATTGTGCTGTAGTTTCAATCTTGAGAAGAGTTTGTGCGATGAATGTAGATGCTCCATTGTTTGGGGTAAATATATTTATTATTGTTATGTCTTGTTGACAAATGATTCCCTTAAGCAGTATGAAATATCCTTTATCCCTTTTGATTAACTTTGGCTTGAAGTCTACTTTCTTTGATATGAGGGTGGAAACACCTGCTTGCTTCTGCAGTCCATGTGAGTGGTATGATTTTTCCCAACCTTTCACTGTCAGTCTGTGGATGTTTTCCTATGAGATGAGTCTCTTGAATGCAGCATATTGTTGAATTTTTTTTTTTGTAATCCAATCTGTCAGTCTATGTCTTTTGGTTGGTGAGTTTAGGCCATTAACATTCAGGGTTATTATTGAGAGATGATTTTTATTCCCAGCCATTTTTGTTTATTTTTGGTATTTAACTTGACTTGGTTTCTCCTTTGATTAGATTTTCCTTTAGTGTAGTACCTCCCTCTGCTGATTTTCATTGTTGTTTTTCAATTCCTCTTCATGGAATATTTTGCTAAGGATGTTCTGTAGTGCAGGCTTTATACCTATAAATTCTTTTAACTTTAGTTTATCATGGAAGGTTTTTATTTTATCATCAAATCTAAAGCCTAATTTTTCTGGATATAAGATTCTTGGTTGGCATCCATTGTCTTTCAGAATCTCCTGGCTTTGAGGGTCTGGATTGAAAAATCTGCTGAGATACACATTGGTCTCCCCCATATATGATCTGATTCCTTTCTCTTGTGACCTTTAAGATTCTGTCCTTATTCTGTATGCTAGGCATTTTTGTTATAATGTACCTTGGTGTAGATCTGTTGTAATTTTGTACATTTGATTTTCCAATTCATTCTTTATGTTTGGGAAATTTTCTGATCTCATTGAAGAGATTGTGCAACTATCCCACTCCTAGGTCTATATCCAAAGGACTTAAAAACAGCATACTACAGGGGCACAGCCACATCAATGTTTATAGCAGCACAATTCACAATAGCTAAACTGTGGAACCAATCTACATGCCCTTTAATAGATGAATGGATAAAGAAAATGTGGTATATATATACACAATGGAATATCATTCAGCAATAAAAGAGAATAAAATCATGGCATTTTCAGGTAAATGAATGGAGTTAGATGATATAATGCTGAGTGAAGTTAGCCAATCCCAAAAAACCCAGTGCTGAGGGTTTTCTCTGATTTAAGGATGCTGATTCATAATGTGGTTGGGGGAGGGGGATATGGAAGGATTAGATGAACTCGAAATAGGGCAAAGGGGATAGGAGTGAGCAGGGGCTAAGAAAGACAGTGGAATGAAATGGACATCATTACCCTAAGTACATCTATGAAAACATGAATGGTGTGACTCTACTTTGTGTACAGAGATATGAAAAATTGTGCTGTATATGTTTAATATGAATTATAATGCATTCTGCTGTCATATATAACAAATTAAAAAAAAAAGAAAAGAAAACCCATAGAGAAAAAGGACTAAATTGTTACCTGATGGACTAGGTCCAAAGATCTTTCCATAAAAGATCTATATCAAAGAGATCTTTTCAAAGAGACCTCCCAGTAAGATCTCTTCTGGAAAGATCTTTTGTAGCGGTTCTTTGTGGCACAGATCTTGCTCTTGCCACTGAGTGCTAGGAAGCTGTGTAGCTTGAAGATCTGCCCAACACACATCACTCAGATTAGACTGGACCTAAGAGAGAGCATTTCGAATTGGATTAAGAACCATAAAAAATTGTATTCAAGGACAAGGTAAATGTATTATTTTTTTAACATTCATCTTTATGAATTTTATCCTGAGCACATGTACAAGGTGTTCTGAGCCATATTTCTTATTCTATCCACCCCCTTTGCCCTGGTTTTCCACCCTTGGTTCCGTGTACTGGCAGCCAGGTCAGTTGTCCTCAACTGGTAATTGCAGATACAGAGGTGAAGCATGAGGAATTTTTCTTTTTCTTCTGTTTGTTAAGTGGAAGGTGGCAGCTGTGGATATTTTTCCTTGAAAATTTTATGGGCCTGAATCCTTATCTGAGCCCTTGGGGATATTGGTAGAATTTCCCCAGGAGCCAAATAGCCCCTTGTGTCTTGGCTTTTATTACCTAGAGTTGTCTTCTGGTTCTGGGCCTTCATATCTTTCCACGTGCAATATCTAGGGAGATATCTTCCTTTAACTAGGGACCTCGTCCAGCCCTGGACAGTTCAGACCTGTTGAGCAGACATAACAGAAGTGTTATTCTCCTTTCAAAGTAGAGCAGTTAGGTAGAAGAATGGTTGCTCATCGAAGTTTCATGTTATATGAAGGGAAGAGTATTTTTGTAGGATAGGAAAATAAATATTCCCTTGATTATATGATTTTCTTGGCCTCAGGAAGCTAAGGGTTTTGCAGGAGCAGTAAGTCATCACGGATATTTTCTTTCTGCACATTTAGGTGTTTTAAGTGGGAAGAAATTCTACAAATCATGTAAATATTTTATATAAAAATAATAAGTGATGGTTTATGTAGATGGAATAGAGCAGGCTTTTAAAATGAGTTTTGGAAATAAAAATAAACAGCAGGGAAGAAACTAAGCTAATCATAGTATCATTAAAACAGCTGCATTTGGGAGTCCCTCCTATGTTTAGAACCTCAGACTCTTTCAACCTATGCAGAAGACCCATTTCTAGAAATATGTCAGTTGGATATTTGGAAAACATATTCGAGCTGACTTTGGCTTGGCATAGATTGCTGAATCCTCCTGATGATTTGTTCTCTTCAAACTTGAATGAGAGTAAAATAATGTAAGGGTTTGTGTGTATGCCGAAGGAAATAGGGGTACAGGACAAATATTTGTGCTAGGGTTTTTTAATTGGGAGCTTTTTAAAACTTATTACCTTCTTTGGTATTTATCTATTGAAGAAGATAAATATTGGCTGACAATGTGTCTGAGTTGAAGAATGGGTTGCGTCTGCAGAGTTTGCCTCAGTCATATAGTATTGAAACCTAAAGTGCATGACCTAACATCCTATTCACTGTGAAAATAGTCTTGCTTGTTTTTCATTTGGAATAACTTAGTATTCTCTCTAGTCCTCATAGTCATAATTTTAAAGTTGAATAAGTAAATGTACTGGTCTGGTTTCTTACATGCAACAAACTGTTTTCTTTCAGGTTTTTGCCTGAATTCATCAATGGAGACTTTGATTCCATCAGGCCTGAAGTCCGAGAGTTCTACAGTGTTAAGGTAAACCATGAACATGTTCATAGCCAAGATCTTTCTCATATAATTGCTTTTACTGTGTTCATTCTGATCTCGTTGGTCTGTAGGCAAGGATTGAGAAATTCATTGTTTAGCTACTTTCATACTGTTTTATTATAGAAATTGTAATATACATCTAGAATCGAAATTTTTTAAATTGACACATGAAAACTCAATCATGGAGAAATTCTATCACCATCAGATAGGCATTTGATCAATCATATAAAGGCATATATTTTACATGAGCTTATAGTTCACATAAACTCATATAATAGAATTCTATTGATGTCTATAGTCCTCAAAAATATGATTTATTTTTCACAAATAATCCTTTTAGTTTTATTTAACATATGTAATCTATTTTTTCTTAACTGATTATCAGTTGATACACATTTGTGTCTATTTTTTGCATTATAAACTACTAAAACATTTTCATATATAATTATATGTGTTCCTAGAAACTTAGAATGAAAGTTTTCCCTACAACGTTTAGTTTTCTTGATACTTGTTACTCTTTTCTGAATAAAACTATTCAGTACAATTTATTAATAGCCTATGATCATTAAGGTGTTCATTTTGTCACTATTGTGCAAATCTTCCAGTGATCCTTGTCATATAAGAATATTTATGTGATATAATTGGGGATGATAGAATCTCATAGAAGTGCATTAAAGTAATTAATAATTCAAGGTTTCACCGGGTTTTGAAGGCAATGCAGTGTTTTTAAAGGAAAAATTACAGCGCTACTGATTCTTCTATCTGAAATACCATCATCAGTGTTATTCTGAACTGAGGCTGGCAAATTACACATTTTTAAAAAAGGAATAGCAGGCATTGAGATTATAATACTTAAATTCTTTATAAGGCTTGGGGAGATATGAGACAAATTTTAAAAAAAAGACATGAGTCCATTTTTAGAAAGGAAGGAGAGAGGGAAAGACGAACGTAAGTGTAAGGAGAAGTAAGAAAATAAGGAAAAGGAGAGAAAAATACCTTGATTGTAGATGGGAAAACAAAGGTTCCCTGGTAATAGGCTGTTGTGAGGCACAAATTCTGGGGTTGGCAGTGAATGCAGATCAGTGCCTGTTCCATCTGCCCACCAGCTGATTAGACTTTCCTTCAGCAAATGAAGACTGTTCCCAAGTCAGTGTTTGATATTCATGCTCAATTACCTTAACATTGGCATGTTCCTATTCATTCCCCACAGTCTCACTTCTCATTAACTCCATACCTCCACCTTGTTGGGATGGAAAGTCTCAGCCTTGCTTACAAGGCAGAGTTTTGCAAATGCATAGATATTAATCATATTTTCGGGAACAGAGGCAACAGCGGGAGAGGCAGGGATAAGCATAGTCAAAATCAGGTTGAAGATCTGGCCAGATGTGACTTATCTCCCTGGCTCTTAATGCCGCTGGCTTGTCAAAATTGGTGGCACCAATATGATTATTTGTGTTCAGAATGTGGGAACAAGGGAGGCTGGTCTTTTATTTCAGGATGCAGTGAAGTGGGATAGGGTGAAACCAAACTTCTAAGTTAATACCTCATCATAAACTCATATTTCTTTGCTTGTTTTTAGCACTAAAAATAAATTCACAGTTGTTAAAGTTTAGTTTGTAATGTAAGGTTTAGCTGAGTCTTCTGATTTCTAAACTGCACTGTTCAGGGTAGGTATAGTGCAGTTCAGTTTGCTCATGTGAACTCACTGTTTTTGAACTTTCAGGGCATGTTCCTAGAGGGCACAGATGATGTCTTTTATATAGTTAAATGTGTCCTACAGAGATCATGGTGAGTGTTTGGCTGTAGCTTTAATAATGATGATCATTACAAGTTAATGCAACATTACACACAATTCTTACAAGCCATTATCTTCAACTTCAACAGTCTTTAAGCTTCTCTTTCAAAAATAAGGTTGTCTCCACTTTCAGATCTGCCCTGCTCCCAACCCGGTCTGGGTCTCTAGTGAAGAGAGTGAAATGAAAGAAGAAATTTAGAAAACTAAGTTGGCTAAAATCATAAGGTGGACTGTGGAGTCAGCATGTATTTATGTACGGTGTTGGCTTTGGGGCTCTCTTGCAGTCCTTAATTGACCCTCTACAGCCTCCTTCCAGGTAGCTGTAAAGTCTTGGACCCTCTTTCTCTTTTGTCTCTTTGTCTTACTTGTTCTCTGCTGGTTCATTGTTACGAGGAATGTCTCTTAGAGCTGTACACTTTGTTATTTTATGTTCATTTTTCTAGGTCATTCGATATTTCTTTAATTCAAGACTCAATCATCTATTTCAGTCTTCATAATTATTCCACCCATGATGTTTCCATACATTGTAGCTTACTGGAAATTGGAGGAGAAACTGTCCTACGTCATCTAACTAACTCCTGATACTCTCTCTACTGGATAGTTGGCAAGGCCTTCACTAGGAAGGGAATTTTTGAGTATGCTTCTTTAATATTTAAGAGATTGAGGAACTCATTGCAATATTTAGATAATCCCTTAAAAAGTTTTGGTAACAACTTTTTTTTCCATAAGTGAAGATAATTAGGACTGGAGATAAATATATTGTAAATGTAATAATAAAAATATAATTTAAAATATGATAGAAAAATTAAACAAATTGTTAGCCTTATTTCCTAATGAGGATGTTAAGGCCCCAGGAGCTGAAGGGTCCTGAGTGAAATGGTAGAGCTGACAGCTGTAGGATCCTTGTCCATGCTGTTTGTGAAAAGACTGTTGTTGGAATTTGGATTTCTCAACAGGTAGCACCTTTGGCTTTGGGGGGAAACATTTGTGCTTGCATAGTTGTTAGCTTCTCTGGGAATGAATGCCCCTGTCACCAACAATGTGATAGGATTCCATGTGGTGACCAAACACTCTGCCTTCACATTTCCATTATGCCTTGTACCATCCTCAATGCTGGGGCAGTAAGGCTAAGGTGCTAGTTGGGCCAGATCCCAAATGACCAAAAATCTAATATTGGTAAATTACCTAATGGCAGGATCACAGGATGATATTTAAGCTGTATCACAGGATGTAGATTGAGCTGTCATATATCATTGAAGAATTGAGATGATCTGGTAGTAGTAGGCTGTTAGCATGGTGACGGTAACATCCTTTAGATATGAAAATGCCTTCCTTTATACCACACGGGGGTATTTCGGCTTTCCGTTAGAGTTCTTCGATCAACACAGGCTGTGTTCTGGACAGAGTGGTGAGATGACTCTCATCCTGAGAGGAATAAGACTCTAGGCTCAGCCTCTGATTTTAATCTTCTCTGTTCATTCATCCAACTTGGAAGAACACTGCATGGTGTCAAAACAATGGCCAAGAATATTGGACCATGGTGCTCAAAGAATGGCAACTACAGAGATGACCAGAGACGACCAACTCAGGTGTAACGGGGAGTGGGGCTTGCGGGACTGAGTTGAGGCTCAGCTCCTTCTTTTCTAGTACAGACATAACAAGGTTGGTCCAGGCCACCAGGTGATTCCAGCACTGTATAAATGAGAAGAGCTGAGACAGAAATCCAGGCTGGTGATTGTTACCTGTTTTTATTTCTCTGAATTGGAAAATATAAAAGTTTTAAAGCAAATGACATGAATGTGTTTTATTAAGCCAGTGTTTCCTGATGGTGGTTGCTCATTGTCATCTAATACTGGCAAGGCCATACCTAAGTTTTTGAAGCCTTTTCTCAATGGGCAAGGATAGATTATCTAAAATTTTAACCCAGTGCTCCCTTTTATAAATATAAAATGCTGTAAAGGTGCCATCTGAAAGCTGAAAATGATTCATCAGTTTACGTTTTCCATACTGACTGTTGCCTGTGTAAATATGTTGCAGTTACATTTTAGGAAACTGGAGATTTGGGTTTAAATACAACTTTCTCAGTCAAAATAATCATAAATTGGCTTCCAATTGACATTTAGATAGGATGACTTTTTTTCATAAATGGATTACTGATGAAATTAAGCAAAAAATGCTTGTATTTTAATTACAATTAAAAAATGAGGATACTGATTCTCAAGTGGAGGGTAAGAGGGTGGAAAATGGAGTTGGGGGGACAGGTAACTATGACTGTCAAATAACTAAGACTTAATCCTGGCTATCAATTTGTACATTTTAATTTTTTCTTAAGTAATAGAGTGATTGTTTTCTTCAACTACAAATTATTTTTTGAGTTGTTAGTTTACATACATACAAGCCTTATTTCCACATGTTTTCTGGCCGTGATTTTCTCATCTTCATGTAGTAATGATCAAACCATGGCATGTAAGTGTTCTGGAAATACGAAAGCACTATTTTAAGTTGGTAGTATTTTGTTTTACTTTCCAAAATTATTTGCTTATGAGATTTTTAATATCTCTTGTTTCTCATGTTTTTAAAAAATTTTAATCAGTTCATCTTCATAATGAATTTATGAATATAATTGCAATTCATAATCAGAATCACTTAGAATATCCTTTTGAATTTGAGAAAGCCTTGGGTTTGATTCTATTTAAATTTTCACAGAATGTCTGCAGTTGAAAACATCTGAGTTGATCTACCTCAACTCACAAATTCTATTATTTTCTATTTTTTGTGCTCTTTTCCAGTTCTTCCTGGCTACATGCCAATAACTTTTAGATATGGCAAAATAGTTAATTTAGAGAGAATGACAAACTGTGTTATTAGCAATTATAAAAATTTGACATTTTGGTTATTATGCAAATCAGAAAAAGCTACAAAATATTTAAAGTTCAACTCCATATATTTGTATATCTCTTTTCAAAACAAAATAAAACAAAACAAAAGAAGAGACAAAAAATTCAGAGCCTCATAAATCTTTAGGCTTAAGCATGAAGACTAATTAACATGAGCTGAGATATAAAGCTGTTGTTCAGGGAATTATGGACAGGCAGTTTCCATTGACAGCTGAGTGACAGATTCTTCACTTTATATTCTTAAAACTGGCTGTCTAACCTTTATTAGCATCTCACCAAGGGAAGGATGAGACTTC